TGAATGTTAAGAAGGATTATATGAAGTTCATTATGGTCTCGAGGGGGCTATAAAGGAGAGCGTGTCATAGCCATTGTCTCGTTCAAAGAGGGTTTTCGTTATCAGATCTCAATTGCCTCCCTTATGCGAAGTTTGAACGTGTTACTTTCCATGGCAAGAATCCACTGAATGTTCCGTAAGCTGGCGATGCTCATGAACAGCTGACGAATTCCTCGAACCACGATGTTCCTGTACTCTAGTTTCTGACGAACGAGAAGTTTCGCCAACATATTCTTTGTCATATTGTTCGTAATGGATGTGACTCATTGTTCGTGTCACATTGTTCGTAATGGTGTTCTCTGCTTTATCCTTAACACGTACTAGCAGTGATCGCAACGAATTGAAAGGCTTGTAGACAGGTGTGACCTCGTGTGATTTAAATGCTCTTTGTAGGCGTTCCGAAGTGCTCTTGATGTATGGCACTGAAGCATATATTCTCTTCTCGTTAACAGGTTGCTCGGATTCTCTCGAGCCAGATCCAGTGCTCGGTATTCTTAGTGTCCAATTAGGATTGTTGTTGGCTCTCGAGGCCTTCTCAACGTGTTGAATTTCCTTTACTTTGTCAACTTCTTAAGACGCCAAGGTCTGAGCTCGAAGTAGCAGAGTGTTAACTACAGCTCTTTCATGTTGTAGATGATGGGTAGAATGGAAATTCAGTTACTGGTCAGTATGAGTCGGTTTCCGGTACACAGTGACTTTTATTGAGCCATCTTCGTTCAGCCATTGTCATTCAGGCAAGCGCTCTCACCACTGCGATATACCTGCCCCCTACCCCCCAAATGGATAATGAAGACAAAATCAGGGAAAAGGTGCGGCAGAAAGGAAAGTACAAAGGCCAAATCTTTAATTTACTTGTCTCTTTGAACGCTCTAGTTTAAAAATTGCGTCAGTGACGCAATTTTTAAACTAGAGCGTTTAAAGAGACAAGAGGCACTCAGATTAAATGAGTGATTAATGTTGCTTTGTAACTTGCTACTTTAATTTGGATTTTTATTACGCGGTTGACCGGTGTGAGGTCTGGAACTGTTATAACTTACGGAGCTTCCAAACGTGCGCCTATAATCATGGAGTGACGAATTAAAATTTTCCTAAGCGCTCCGAGAGGTTTCCGAAGGTTTCTCGGTTCCAGACCTCAAATAACTGACGAATATTTAAAATTCAAAATGACCGCCACATAAACAAGATACAAATTTATCTCAGGTAAGATTAGACATATTTCTCATTAATTGAATGATGTAAAAGTCACTAGTGTGGAAATATTTTCGCTTGTACTGAATGTTAAGCATGTTTTCACATACTCTTGTAATTTTCACATACTCTTGAATTTAAAGACAGAAAGAAAAAGATGGGGATAAGTGAATTAAATAGCTAAAGAGAAATTTTTGAAAGGTTTAATGAAGATATCCCGTCATTAAGTGGTTAATGGCTAAGCAGTTCTAACGAAAACGTCTCGATGACTTGTTTATGATGATATTTTGTATAGTTGAATTTGTGATTTTTTTTCTTTCCAGTCCAACGTTACAGTCAAGTGTAAAATGATTCACTGAGTTTATTCACAAACACCACTTTTCACTGGACATTCTCTCTACATATATAGATGTTTTCCATTTTCCAAATGTTGCCAGTGTCCCATTACAGTCGAACTTCCACTAACGGCCGCCTCTCTACAAAGGCCACTTTTTTTTGTGCCGGCGGACAGTCCATACATTCACTCTTCTCCACAACGACCACCTCTCCACAACAGCAAAGGCTACTAAAGCGTGTCCCAACTGCCAAAATAACCTCCTGACATTGGCCACTCGACTGACGAACGGTGTGAACAAAACCCTAATTTTTTTATTATAATAGCTCACGAAACTTGATCTATTCTTGGTTTTCATGTGACGTAGTCATATTCCAAAATTAGAAATTATCCTTCCTTCTGAGGT